ATTCCTTCCAGGTGTGGGGGGAGAGTGGGCGGGCGTGGTGTGTCGAGTGTTGTGTGTGCGGGATGGGTGGAGTCAACGTCTCCTCAGATCTCTCTGTCTCTTGTCCTGGGCCGCCCGCTCCCGCCACGTGGGGAGCGCGGGCGATGGCCAATCTCAGCCGTGTTCCTGCTCGATAACCAAATCAATGATGTCTGAAGGACTCCTATTCAACCCTTCAGGCCTGCCGACGTCGCTCGTGCTGGTGAGGGTATCGGTGACGCAGGCGTGTTGGCCGTGTCACACCCAGTTCGTTCCGATTTTCTGTCGGCGAAAATGGCACAAGCGGTGCCGACCACTGGGCATGAGCCGCCCGCCCGAGCCGCGCGGGCGTATCCAGACTTGTTGCGTTCCTGGGCTGGCCGGGGAGAAGGAGGAGGAGAAGGAGGAGGAGGAGGAGGGGGAGGAGGAGGAAGAGGAGGAGGAGAGGAGGAGGAGGACGAGGAGGGAGAGGAGGAGGAGGAGGAGGATGAGGAGGAGGAGGAAGAGGAGGAGGCGGAAACTGTGGAGGAGGAGGAAGAGGAGGGGGATGGGGAGGAGGAGGAAGGGAAGGAGGAGGAGGAGAAGGAGGAGGAGGGGAGGGAGAGGAGAGAGAGGAAGAGGAAGAGGAAGAGGAAGAGGAAGAGGAGGACGAGGAGGACGAGGAGGACGAGGAGGACGAGGAGGACGAGGAGGACGAGGAGGACGAGGAGGACGAGGAAAACGAGGAGGAGGAGGAGGAGGAGGAGGAGGAGGAGGAGGAGGAGGAGGAAGGGTCCGACAACACGGACGCTCGTGACACACGAAAACCATTCTTGGACGGGTGGCGACCTTGCGAAGTCCAAGCCGATTGCCGCTCTCGGCCCGACGAGCGGTGCCCAACACAATCTGATGCGAGAGCTGTCTTTCCCCCCGTGTCTTCGTGTCTTCCTACAGTGCACACCGAGCCACAGGTCGTGCAGAAAGCGATCGAACCCCTATCGCGTCCTTCAGCATCTTGAACTTGCGCCTCAATGACCGCATGTCCCAGAGCGGGCCAGACCGAAAGCTCTGGCCACTCGACAGGAGCGGCTGCATCCGAGTCCCTCTCCCCGCCCCCAAGCTCCGACCCCGTCCCCCGCCCAGAGCTAGGGAGGGAAGGAGGAAGAGGAGCAGCAGCAGGAGGACCCTCAGGGAGAGGAGATAGATCGAGGGACATGTGATGGAGCCACTCGAGGCCGACATGATCAAACTCCTGTCGGTCACCGATCCGAGCCTCTTGCTCCGCCGAATACTTACACAACAAACGGGCCAACTCATGGCATCCCTCGACTACAAGCCTATCGGGGTCGGAGATCCTACCACGAGCGGTTCCTTCCTTTGCAAACTCATCAGCCGCTCGATTCTCTGAATACTCGAGCCTACTGAGCTTACCATTATCAACATCTCGCATGGTGCAATGGGAGGGGACCTTGCACCACGAGACTCCATCCAACTTATCGTGCACGTGCTGCCACAAGTGAGACCGAGCATTATCTGGGTTGACAGCACCTGAAGGGTCCTGGACATACCCCAAGGTGCCCGAACAGTCCCCGTAAAGACAGGCCCCATTGAAGACAGCAGCATGGCGCACAAGCGATAGCACAGCATAGTCCTCGCCATCTCGAGCTACCTGGGCTGGAGCAACACCCCAAATCGCACGATCCACCCTTCCCCAACCGTCCGTCACCACCACCCCCCACCCCGCCGATCTGATCCTAGGGAGTGCTGGCTCGAAACACGAGCCATCGATAAAGATGTGGTTCCCATCACCTAAGGTCAACCCCTCGGCAGGCCAATTTGTACCTATACGCAGTGGCCTCGGGGGGCTCAGTGGGACGGGCGAACCAACAGGCGGGGTCGGGAAGGGCACAGCGGGCAGAGAGCTCCTGAGCCCTGGGACAGAGCAACTTGACTCGATCCGCCGCTCTGCGAACGTCAGGGCTGATCACGTCCCTTCTCCAAACATCATGAAGCGAAGGATTGCACAAAAACGAAGGATTGCACAAAAGATTGCACAAACAAACAAAAAAACCCAGGGTTTTTTTGTGCAATCCAGGGTTTTGTTGTGGTTTTTTTGTGCAATCCTGTTTTTTTTTTTTTTTTGTGCAATCCTTCATTCGAAACGACGGTGGAACATGGTCCCAGGGGCGGCCTGGCAGGCCGGGCACACGGGAGAACTATCCTGACAAGCATCGTCAAACCTCTGCTGACACCAATACCTTTTTCGCAGTGAGGCTACGCAGACAATGACGGCAGTGATCCGGCCAGGTGGGTGAGCTCTGCTTCGAGAGGAGATCGAGCGCAGGTTCGAGGCACATCGGCCCTCTCCACTCGGGCCCGAAATCACTCTGCCGATCTTGCTCTTCTATTGCGATGGCCTTCTCACGCGCCTCCCGAACGCGGAGACAGAGGAAGGCAGGAGAGAACGCATCTAGGCTCCACTCTCTGCCCGCTTGGTCAATCAAAACTGCACTGGGAATATCCAGCCGCCAACCTATGCGACCAAGCGAGAGCACAAGAGCCGCCACGGGTTGCTTGGCCGAACTACACGGCTTGGCCTTGCCGGCCGTCGGGAGCGCACTTTCGAACGCCGACTGGATCACTTGCTTGGAGACGCTGCGACGCCACCAAGCCGAGACGAACGTCTTGACGGCATCCACCGTCACATCAACAAATGGGTCTCGCTGCGGGGCCCCAGAGAGGAGGACGGTGAGGCCAAGGGAGGACCCAGGCGGAAGGGGGCCGAAGGACCTGGCCGAGGCAGCTCTGAGGGTCCTGAGGGCCGAGTGCCTTAGGCCATTGGTGTGCGCCCCCCACGCGGCCTTAGCGACCGGCCCAGCCCTGCGCACCCGAGAAGCCTCCCAGCCCCTCCCCATCCTGGAGAGCCGAGTCGCCGAGGCCGACGCGGCGGAGAGGCGCTGATTCTGCACAGGCACGCGGCGCGCTCTGCCATCAGAAGCGCCGCCGCCCAAGTCACGATGGGTGCTGGCCAGGAAGCTCTCGTCGAAGGGCCAGTCCTCGTCCAGCAGGGCCTCCATCAGCTCTTGGCACGAGCAGAGGAAGCACGTCTTGGCCAGGTTGAGCGGCAGGCCAAGCTTCTCCATCTCGGTCGAGACGGCAACCGCAGCCCTGACGAGCTGCTTTGCCACCGTACGCAGCGTGCCAACCGTATGGATCTTCAAGTCGTCCACCAGATTCAGCGGCCGACACACAGGCGTCTCAATCGCCACAGTTCTGAGAACACACAAAGTCATGAGCTTCACGACGCCAGTCGCGCAGCTGCAGCCAGCGATGACCGTGCCATTCGGCAGCACTTGCCGAGAGGTAGCCCCAAGCCAGCGGGCCCTCCGTGGTCCTCGGTACACCGCGCACAGACACTTCAGCAACTGCTCGTCGAAGCCATAGTGCCTGCCAGCTGCACGCATGGCAGCGTGAGAAATGATCTCGTAGAACTTACGCACATCGTAGTACAACGTGCCGCTGACGAAGTTGTGCCTCTTCGCGTGGACCACCTGCAGGTTGTGGACGTAGGCCGCGCGATCCGCGGCGGTGTCACCAGACTTGCCCCAGAAGAAGCTGGCGTCCACGCTGACCTCCCACACACGAACAAGAGGCTGCCGAATTCTGGACCACACTCGGGGCCATAGGGCCAAAAGCCCAATCGGCCTGCGCCAAAAATCAGGCGGCGCCTTCGGGGTAAACACCATCACCGTGGCCCAGAGCTCAGGAACACTCGCCGTCCTCTCGAACTCGCCCAGGATGGCCGCGAAGCGCGTGACCATCGTGTCCGAGAGCTCGTCCAAGAGCCTCGGGTGGAAGTTGTCCCAACCAAGCCCTTTGCGACGGCCACAGTAGAGCGTCGCCGCACGAACTTGCGTCACACTGATCGGCTCCAGCGCGTGCCCCACCTGCCAGGACTCCGCTGGAGGCTCCAGTGCCCTGGTATCTATCACCCAGAGCGGCAGCCACTCCTGCAGCACGGCCTCCACAGCCAGCGAGCCCACCTGCGGCAGCGCATCGATATCCTCTGGGAAAACGACGGGCTGCGGCTTGATTGTCTTCGGCTTGATAAGCTTGTGCGCTATGCGTTTAGACCCAGGAAGAACCGATCTGCGAAACCCACGCCATAGCTTCGCCTTAGCCGCCGCGTCAGCTCGCCTGCGCATAGCGAGCACAGCGTCCAGGAGCCGAGAAAACCATGGCGCCAAAGGGCTGTCTCTCTCTCTCTCTCTCTCTGCCAAGCCGAGCCACTCATCAACGGCCATGACTCCCAAGGCCTCGGCTCCACTGACAGCGGCTGGAAGCGTTCGCTCATGAGCTTCCAGGAAGAGGCGAGCTCGAATCGCCTGCCGCTTGCCACGAGAGCCTCGAGCTGCACGGCCCCATCGGAGCATAGCCTGCCAGATGGGGCAAAAGGGTACTTTTGCATCCGTCCCCTTCGGCCCATACTTGGCCGCTTTCGCTGGCCGCGCGCCGCTTGCACAGTGTCGACATAGCCTTCCAAGGCCATTACACCCTTGCCGCGCATCCATATTATACGGGTTGACTGTAACATACCTTACCTCGCTTCACCTTACCAACATTACCTTACCTTATTTAACCTGCCCTCCCCTCACATCCCCTCGCCACACCTCACCCCTCCCTGCCCCCCCTCACCTCATGTTACCCTACCTTACCTCACCTCACGGTATGCCTTACCTCAACTCACCTCACCGTAGCTCATCTCACCTTGCCTCATCTTACCTAATATTGCCTCGCTACGTCAGCTAACCTTACCTTACCCTACCCCTCTCCTTACCTTACCTCAGCCTCACCTTTACCTGTACCTTTAAAATGCCCACACCTTTACCTATACCTTACCTCCTCGTCCTCCTCACCGTCCTCCTCATCATCTCCCCCTGCCTTCTCCGGCCTGTTTTTCTCCTTTCTCCCCCCATCCTGCCTGCTCCTCCTCTTGCCCGCAGGGTCGCTGGAGTTCGTGTCCCCGGCTGAGCTGCTAGGCGCGGGGCCTCCGCCCAAGCCCGAGCCCTGGGTGTTACAGGTGGGGGGGGTATCTTTGTGCAGGTGGCTTGTACGTGGTTATTGTTTTCTTTCTCCCTATCTCTCTCCCTTCCATCCTCATCAGCGGCATCATCATCAACATCCTCACCCCCCTCCTCCCCGTCCTGATCGTCGTCGTCGTCATCATCCCTCATCATCACCAGCATCATCATCATTATCTGTCCTGGTCCTCCTCCTGCTCCTCCTGCTCCTCATCATCAGGGCCGCGCCATGCGTTTTCTATCAACATACATTCGCCACCTGGTTGATGGTGCTGCGATGATGACGAGGAGGATGGGGAGGAGGGATGGTGATAACGATGCTGATGATGATGATGATGATGATGATGATGATGATGATGATGACCATGATCATGATCATGATGATGATGATGATGATGCTGATGATGATGATGATGATGATGATGATGATGGGCAGGAGGAGGAGGAGGAGGAGAAGGAAGAGGAGTACAAGGAGGGATGCTGATGATGCTGATGATGATGATGATGGTGGTGGTGGTGGCGGTGGTGATGATGACACAGAGGAGGGGCGGTTATGAGGAAGAGGAGGAGGGATGACGCTGACGAGAAGGAGGAGGACGACGATGAGGAAGAACGGCGGCAGGTGGAGGAGGAGGATCAGAAGGGGATGGAGGATGGCTGACTTTCCTGCCGGTCCAGCGGGCTGTTTTCCTCATCACCATCATCATCCATCCTCATCATCATCAGCATCATCATCGTCATCATCATCCATCCTCCTCGTCCTCGTCATCATCGTCAGGACCATCATCCATTAGCAGCCTCGTCCTCATCATCACCATCATCCATCCGCCTCGTCCGCCCCATTATCCTCATCATCATGATCATTGTTATCATCATCATCACCATCACCATCACCATCATCATCATCATCATCATCATCATCATCATCATCATCATTATCATCATCATCCGCATCAGCATCAGCAGCAGCATTCTCATCATCACCGTCATCATCACCATATGTCCATTCTCGTCCTAGTCCACTCCTCCCCCTTCTCCTCACCATCATTAGCATCATCTCCCTTCTCATCCATGCAATCAAGAACATCATGCAATCAATAACACTACAACAACTAATACCATCAAAGAGAGGCAGAGAGAGAGAGGGAGGGCGAGAGAGAGGATAGGAGGAGGATGAGGAGGAGGAGGAGGGAGAGGAGAGGAGAAGGAAAATGAGGAGGAGCAGGACGTGCGGGAGGTGGAGGAGGAGGGGGGAGGAGGAGGAGGAGGAGGAGGAGGAGGAGGAGGAGGAGGAGGAGGAGGAGGAGGAGTAGTGGTCTTTCGCGCAAAAACCCTCGCGCGAAAACCCTCAGAGGACGTATTAATGTTCTATTGGATTTCATGTGCTTTCAATGACAGTCACAGGGTTCCTTTGCCTTTAGAGTTACGAAACCTTTGAGTGTTCCAAACAAAGAGCAATTGGACCCAAGACGTGTTCTTATTGTGTGCTGATTGTTTTGTTTTCGTATTGATTCTGATTGCATGGATTTCTTATTTGTTTCGATTGTATGGATCTCGAAGTCTTTTTGATTGTATGAATTTCTTATTGTGTTTGATTGTATTGATGTCTGATTGTTTTTGATTGTACTGAGTTCTTCTTGTTTCTTAGTGCATGGATTTCGAAGGTCTTACGGCCGGTGCCGCCGACCCTGAGAACGACGAAGATGTGAACGAGGGGGGGGGCAGGGGGAGAAGGATGAGTGGGAGGTGGAGGAAGGGCGGAGGAGGTGGATGAGGGAGGAAGAGGGGGGAGAAGGATGTGGAGGAGAAGCAAGAGGAGGAGAAGGAGGCAGAGGAGAGCAGGAGGAGGGGGAGCAGAGGGGTGGGGAGAGGAGGAGGAGGAGGAGGAGGTGGTGGAGGAGGAGGAGGAGGAGGAAGAGGAGGAGGCCAGAGGCTTTCTTGGGACAGCCTGGGGCTCTTTTGAGGCCGTCTTGGGCCGTCCAGGGCTCCTCTTGGGCCGTCTGGAGGCACTCTTGGAGGCCTCCTGGGCAATTTGGGTCTCTCCTGGGCTGTCTTGGGGCAGTTTGGTGGCCCCTCGGGAGCCTCTTGGGGCCTCTTGGGGCTTCTTCGGGGCCTCTTGGGGGCCTCTTGGGACTGAGAGCTCGAAATGCGTCTGGGCACTCCTGGAGCCGTCTTGGGGGCCTCTTAGGCCGTCTTGGAGGCGTCTTGGGACGTCTTGGGGCCCTCTTCGGCCGTTAGGGGACCCTCTTGGGGGCCTCTTGGGCCGTCTCGGGGCAATCTTGGGGGCCTCTTGTGCCGTCTTGGCGCGTCGGGAAGCGGAAGAGGCAAGAACGCCAAAATCTTTCAAACACGTATGGTAAATCCATTAATTTTGCCTCTTGGGGCTCCCGTGGGAAAGCTCCTGGAGACCTCTTGGGGCGCTTCGCAGGCCTCTTGGGCCGTCTGGAGGCAGTCAAGGCGTCTTGGACAGATCGTTCGGCGATTCGGGATTCTCTTGGACTGTCTTTGGGGCCTCTTGGGGCACTCTTGGTCCGTCTTGGGGCTTTTTGCGGCTCCGGGACTCCCAGGGGGGGCGTCGTATCTGATCCTTCCCCCGCCCAGACCGCCCCCCCCCCTGGCGGGGGAGGGATCGAAGGGAAGGGGCTTCCCTTCGACTCAATTACGACGTTGCTTAACTTTGCTTTGGCTGGCGCGCTGAGGAGGTCCCTGGGGAAAGGGGGGGAGCTTCAAGGGGGGAGGCAGGGAAAGGGGACGACAGAGACGACGACCAACGAATGACGGAGATGACGACTTGAACGGACAATCCCCTCACACACGCCGACAGGGTCGGCGGATTTCTTATTGTGTTCGATTGTGTGGTTTTCTTGTTGCTTCGATCGTATGGAATTATTCGCGTGTTTGATTGTACGTACGTCTTACTGCTATGATTGCGTGGAGGAGAAGGGTGATGAGGTGGAGGACAGGGATGAGGACGATAATGAACATGGTGAGGAACAGGATGATGATGCTGGTGACGATACTGATGGTGATGATAATGAGGATGATGGAACACACCCCACGCCACATAGTCTGAACTCATCATCCTCATCATCGTCATCATCATCGTCATCGTCATCAACATCATCATCATGTTCCTCATCATGTTCATTCTCGTCCGCATCCCTCTACTTGTCATCATCCCCTCCTCCGCGCAAGCAGAACAGTAATATATACGCCCAATCAAAACATTACTAATTCCTTACAATCAAAACAACAAGCGAACCACAAAAACAGAAACAGTAAGACATCCATACAATCGAACACAAGGAGAAGCACATACGATCAACAACAATTAAAACTACACACAACCAACAGCAATAATAAATCCATGAAAACAAACACAATCAGAAAGCCACACAGTCACATTCAATAAGACATCTGTACACTCAAGAACAGTAAGAACTCCATACAATCAAAACCAACACGACATCCATGCAATCAAAAACGATCAGAAGTCCATACGATCAAAAACAATCTGAAGCCCATACAATCAACACCAGTAAGTAATACATACAATCGAGAACAATGAGAAAGCCAGACAATCAAACACAATATGAACACGTTTTGGGTCCACGGACCCTGTGAGGGTTCAAGAATTGGAGGGTTAAACAAACAAACATCAATGGCTTTCAGGATGTCGGACCTCATCTGGGCCCCTCCAGGCCCGATTCGCCCAGGCAGCCTAAAGTCCCGAAAACAATTGATGATTGGTTTTTGGGGAACCTTCACAGGTTTTCGCTGGTTGTCCTTAGTTTTTTGTTGTGGTTTTGAACCCTCACAGGGTTCGTGGACCCAAGACGTTCTCTTATGGTTTTTGATTGTCGGGCTTCCTTTTTGTTTTTGATTGTATGGATTTCTTGTTGTTTACTGATTGTATGGACTTCTTATTGTTTTTGATATGTGGTTTTCTGATTGTTTTGAATTTTCTGGGTTTCATATTGGTTTTGATCGTAAGGATTTCTCACTGTTTTTGATCGTGTAGATGTCTTACTGTATTTGATTGCGCGGAAGAGAGGGGAGATGAGGAGGAGGGATATGAAGATGAGATGATGATGAGGATGTTGATGTTGATGCAGATGCTGATGCTGATGATGGTGATGATGATGCTGATGCTGATGCTGATGCTGATGCTGCTGCTGCTGCTGCTGATGCTGATGATGATGATGATGATGATGATGATGATGATGATGATGATGATGATGATGATGATGATGATGATGATGATAGTCTTAAATCTCACCCTGCACACACAAGCCACCTACACAAATATTTCACCCTTACCGGTGTTCCCCCCGCCGCTCCTCCGACGTCGCCGCTCCTCCTTCTGTTCCTCCTCCTTCCCCCCCTTCTCCCCCCCCCTCCACCATCCACCTCCTCCTGCTCCTGTCCCCCCTTTCTCCCCCTCCACCATCCTCCCCTCCACTACCTCATCCGAGCCTCCGCCTCCCCCATCGTCCTCCTCCAGTACCTCCTACTCCTTCTGCTAATTCTCCACCTCTCTTCCTCCTCCTTCTCCTCCTCTCTGTTCCGCCCTCGTCCCCCCCTCCTCCTCAATCATCCCTCCTCCATCCCACCTCCTCCGTCCTTCGCCCTCTCTCTCCCTTCCTCCACCTGAGATCCTCCCCTCCCTCCCCCCTCCTCCCTCCTCGTCTTCCTCCGCCGTCGCCCCTTCTCCCTTTCGGCTCCCTGCCCTCCTGCATCCCCTGCATCCTGCACCTCCCGCCCTGCTCCGCCGCCCTTCGCCCACCCTCCTCGCCCCGCCATCTTCCATCGCCCCCACCCTCCATCTTGAGTCGGGCCTATCCCTCTAATAGTATGGGGACTGATTTTTCGCCCAAAGTCCCCCTGTAGGGGGACAGGCCCGACCTGACCTGTATCCTCCGCCCTCCTCCGTGCCCCTCCTCCTCGTCCGACGTCGC